CTCCCTGCCAGACAGTCCATGTTTTTGCTCCCTCCCAGCTCCCTGCCAGACAGTCTATGTTTTTGCTCCCTCAAAGTCCCCTGACAGACAGTCCACGTTTTTGCTCCCTCCCAGCTCCCTGCTGAGAGGGGTTGAGGCTTTGAGGCTGCATGCAAACTTGACAATGGTGTTTGGCATCAAGGCAGATGCATGCCTTTAACAATGGAGATGCAATGGTATGTCACACTTTTATCAATCCCCACAAGCTTGTTTGCCATATTAGTTATAGAGTTCTGCTTCAGAATAGATGCTCTTCTCTTTATTTACTCCTGTGTTGCTGTATTATATAGCAAGGGATGGGCTTTCTGGCAGGACAGGTGAAATAAAAATGCAGAAACCATTAAATGTTATAGAAACACTAAAGATCTTTTGAATGAATTGCTTGCTGGGTTGAAATTGGCACAGGCCCAAAGTGTTTTTTCCCCTATCCACTAATTTTCTTTGAAGTGTGACTAAATTGAAGGTCAAATGGAAATAATGCAAGTCAGCCCTATTAATTGAATAATCAATAAAAAAAAAAGTCATTAAATCGTTGATCCATATAGGTCACTTACTGACAGGTTCTTGCTGAAAAATTATTTTGTGTGGTTTCCCACTGTGTGTTATGAGTCAGGGAATTTTCGCCTAGCAATTTTCAACTGCTTTGAATTGTATTGTAATTAAGTTAATGCAACACCCTGCGTAAGGCATATAATAAAGAACAAACAAGCAGATCAAAAAGAACACAAGGCATATAATAAAGAACAAACAAGCAAATCAAAAAGAACACAAGGCATATAATAAAGAACAAACAAGCAGATCAAGAAGAACAAACAAGCAAATCCAAAAGGACACAAGACATAAAATAAAGAATAAATAAGCAAATCATAAAGAACAAGCAATTAGACCATAAGGAATGAATAAGCAAACAATAAAGAACAAACAAACAGATAACATGGAACAAACATGAAGATCATAAAGAACAAATAAGAAAATTATAAAGACCAAACAAGCAAATCTTGAAGAAAAAGCAAATCATAAAAAACAGCCAGGTCACAAGGAATAAATTAGCAAATAGTAAAGAACAAACCCTAGTCTTGTTTATGGTATCATATGGATAGATCAGTCAAGCCCATTGTCTCAGTGCTGAATACTTGGTCCTCAACCAGCTTCCCTGTCATTAAAATCCAGCGGTTTCCTTGTATGACGGAAGGAAGGCTTAATTAGTGCAGCTCCCTGAAGGGAGAGCAGATGCGAGAGTCGAGCTGTCAGACACATCTGTCACTCCTAACACTGTCTTAGACACCTGAATGTCACTAAAAAGAAGACAGATGGCCGAGTCTCCAGTACTGTTCACTTTCTGGCCACCTGATGTTCTTCTGGACGTAGAAGACATGACAGCTCCTCCGACACCTCCTCACGGCTGAGGGCTGCCGTGCCCTTTGTACAGATACAGTAACTGCACTTGCCTCCTCAAATGTAGCCTTTGATGCAATAAAACTGTGCATCCCTCACCCCCTGCTCACTGCTGTGGGGAATATCAGGTGACCTGCTGAATTTTTAAGGGCGTTTACAGGCATATACATGCTGAAATTGAGGACAGAGAGTAATTGCCTCCTTTTTCTGCTGTGCTTGCCAGGCCACTGAGATGTTGTCTATTAAAAACTTGTGCATATTTAGCAAACGCTATTTCCAAAGCAATGTTCACGTGAGGAGGGCCATCGCTGGAGCGATGAAGGGCATCACAGTGCTACGATTAGTCTGCCAGCCATAGGATTCAAATGCATGAGCACATAGTCAGGGATGCACATACACACCGTATACACTACACATTATTGGAGTGGCTGCATTATTAGACTGACATGCCGGTTCGTGCATGTATCTGCCCTTTGAAGGGCTGGTGTCCCACCCAGGGTGTAGCTTTGCCTTCTGCCCCAAGCTACCCAGGATACCCGAGATTCCACACCCCCCTCCTCGGCCCTGACCCGGGTATGGATGGGCGGTTCTTTCTGTCATTCAGATTCTGTGCATGCTATTTTATTTTGCTGCAAAAAAATATAGATTATAATTGCGGAATAATGACAGAATAAGAATCTCCATGAGGATTTCAAGGATGGATTTAATTGTTTTTTTTTTTTCTTGATACGCTTGTTTTTCTTACACATAACTTGATGGAAGTAAACATGTGGACCAGCTGTACTTTTCCAAGGATTCTTTTGTCCAGCATCTCCAGGAGTCTGATGCTGGGAATGTTCATAGCTAGATAAGGACGGGCATTTTGTGTATTTTTTATTATTGAACCACTGTAGTGTGTAATTACTTTCCAGAAATAGTGCTGAATGTAAAGTGCAGAGCAATGTCTGACGGTTGGACTTTCCCTTTCTTCTGTATTTATGCTCTGAAGCTCCGATGTGGGAACGCGATTAAACAGTTTGGGGCAGCTCGGAATGTGGCTACTGGGGAATCACGGAATTGTGAGGGAATCTCAACTCTCCAAAGTGCTGTGATGTGGTAGACTTGCAGATCATCCTGTGAAAAATGCACCCAAAAGAGAACAATTTAAATTTGGGGTAACTACACAGTAATTTCCCTTTGGATAGCTTTGAAATTTCGAAAGGTAATTTCTTATACAGCTTTAGTTATGCTGACTTTTGCTATGTCTTGAAATTGCGAGGTTTCTTTTTGTTTTATAAACTGGCCTTTCAAGTGTTATGTCTGGATAACACTGACATTCAGGTCCAGTCTCAATAAGTAATGGAATGATTTGGTAGAGCGGCCTTAGGATGAAGGACAATTCATCAGCATCTCCTTTTTCCATGGTTTCACCTCACCTGGGTGTACAGGCAGAGATCAGGGGGACGAAGGAGAAGCTGACTGTGCGTGTGGCTTTGTTCTCTTGTGCGTCTCTGGCACTCTGGATATTGGTGGCTGTAAATCAGCACTCCAACCCCCCCCCTCCCCCAACAAACATTTTTCTCCTGCCAGTGGGAGCCCTCCCCACTGCTGAATCACCTAGATTAAAATACTGTTGTGAAGAGGGACAGAAGAACTGGAGAACTCCAGTTCCAGGTCTACACCCCTGCAAGCACAATCAACTGCCTGTTCAGTTCAGGAAACGTTTCCAGCGCTAGCAGAGCAAACTTAAGAGGAAATGCCTCAAGATATCACAGGATAAAGATTCTGTGCTTATAAAATTACTTAAGTTTGTTGTTTAGAATTGAATTGCCTATTAGGTTCTTGTTTTGTTGGAAGATGTTGTGTAGCTCTTGCTTCTATACTTGCACGTATAACTGAGCATTAATTGGGAGCTCAGCCTAGCCGCACTTTATGGCTAGCTGACTCAGCCTGCATGTATGTTTGTTATGTGCTCTTTGCCTCACTTAAACATCACTTTGGGTGAAATGTGTCTGCTAAATGAAATGAATGTAAATGCAGTGCCCTAAAAAAGCTGCAGACATTGAGGCAGCCTCAGACTTGGAGTCTGTTAGGAAGCAGTGCTTCTGCACTTCAGCAATATGAGCTGGGAGCAGAAGGTCTGCAGTACAGTCTGCTTCATTTACCTGAAGTTACCAGTTTCCAGAAGCGTGGTGTTTTTGCCATGATTGTGGAGGATATACGCAGAAAATAAAGTGTTAGCCTATATATGGCCAGGGGATTGATTCTGGAGGTTTATCATTTTAGAATAGACAGTGGTCATATCCTCTGATTTATTTAGCATGACTGGATTTGGTCACATCATTCAGATTCAGCTCTGACTTTATTGGGGCAGCGACTGCACTCCAGCTTAGCGTCTCTAGATATTGATCCAATTACAGTTTTATTCAAGCTGTGACACCTGCAGAAATGATTTATTAGGGGGGAAAAGAACAAATCTGGAAAGTGGATACTTCGGCTGGCATGATGAAGTCACCTGTGGAAGCTCCATAATTTGCCAAGACTTTCTTCACGACATTTTGCCTTTTCCAACAAACCACCAGTCGGCAGGGTGCCCACAACCAAGAAAAAATTTCTGCCCATTTATTGCATTTTTTGGTGATTTTTCTCCTTTTTTTGCAGAGATCAACAGACTGTTTATTTCGAAATGTTGGGTTTTGGTGCCTTGAATTATGACTGTGCTGCTAAAAGTAGCCGGATAGTAAAGCACTGAGCCGCAGCCACTTTGGAGGTCCGTCCACTTTGTCTGTGCTCTACTCCTCCTTCAGAGCGAGGACAGATGCAGCCGTGGTGGGGCAAACACTTACATACCAATAAAATACCCATACCCACATGTGCCCACCCACCCAGTCAGCGGCAGACCCAGCAAGCCAATCGGATGTGATTCTTTCACTGCAGAGATAATTCCAGTCTGAGGCGACAGGCACATCAGTGGAGTAGCAACCACTTGTACAGCCTGATATGGTTTCGTGCCGCTGGCAAGAGCACGTCTGCTATTTTTTCCTGCGTTGTCTTTCAGGAAGACAAAGATCAGCAGCTGAAAGACCATGGCTGAAAGTTTGAAAGCTTAGTGTACTTGCTTTTTCTACTTTACTTTATTAGCCCTTGGGTAGAATTAAATTCAACCTACATTCTACTAAGGGTGTTAATCAAAGCGTAAGCAGTGCTTGGCTCCAGCGGGCTGTAAGAGCAGCAAGATAACAGCACATCAGCACCTTGGCAAGCTATTGATAAATTTAGCACGTTTTGTCCTAAGTAATTTATGCATTTGTTGCCCTTGTTGTTCACATATGACCATGCTGCTGCATTTTCACTTGGTTTTTTGCTAATTAGAAGTTTTTGGTTTTGGGTTTCTTGTTTTGTTGTGCACTCAGATGAATGTGAGGCACCAGCACGGTGGGTCGGGGCTTTTTATGATACTGGAGGGGGGCAGCCTTGTGTGTCTGTGTGACTTGGCTTGGGAGGCGATCGAAGCTCTCTGCCTGTGTGCCCGGGTCGGCCTGCTGACCTGTCCCCCCCCCCCCCCCCCCCCCCCCACGCGCACACAGGTAGGCGACCAGATCCTGGAAGTGAACGGGCGCAGCTTCCTGAGCATCCCCCACGACGAGGCCGTGCAGGTGCTAAAGACGTCCCGGCACCTGATGATGATGGTGAAGGACGTGGGCCGCCTGCCACACGCCCGCACGATCGTGGACGAGACCCGCTGGATCCCCAGCTCCCAGATCGCGGAGAGCTCAGCCAGCACAGTCAGCGGGTAAGATCGCGACCCGAGGGCCGTGCCCAAAAAGCACATATCCTGCAGCAGGAGGTTATCAGCTTAACACCTTCTGTCTGCCTCCTGTACATCACAGATTAGTCTGTGTGGAAGGAGCAGCTGAATCAGCTTAATATTCCAGGTTAAAGGATTGTAACACATACATTTAAGGAACATCATACAGACATTAAAGGAACACCATACAGACATTAAAGGAATATCATACAGACATTAAAGGAACATCATACAGACATTAAAGGAACATCATACAGACATTAAAGGAACATCATATAGACAAAGGAACTTCATACAAATATTAAAGGAGCATTATACACACATTAAAGGAACATTACATAGACATTAAAGCCACATCATACGACATCAAAGGAACACCATACAGATATTAAAGGAACATTATTCAGTCATTAAAGGAGCATCACACCAACCTTAAAGAATCGCCATACAGACCTCAAAGGAACATCATACAGAACTCAAAGGAACACCATACAGACATTAAAGAAGCATTGTTTGTGCCACTGTACACTCAGTTCTCTATTCCAACACTTTACTGAAGTCCTCTGTCATTAGGGCATTAGGACTGGAAAAGTCCCGCTTTTCCACACATGATGTCTGTTTAATAATAGCTGGACGTTCTCCTGTCAGTGAAAGGCATGCTGGGTAGAAGGTTCTTTCTCCCTTACATGCTTAGCAGCTAAACAGGTTCTTTCTGGGTTTAACTCTTTGTTTCTTTCCCTCGTTGGCTTACAGGCTGTCCTTGGACAATGGCTCTTTGGCCTCTGGAAAGGTACCTGTATGGTCGGTCCTGAGGATATTATTAATGACTATATATACATGCGCACACTCTCTTTGACCAGTGCCTCAGATACACCTGCTCATGTACAAAAACAGCCAGCAAATTATGTGGCTGAATGCTTACTGAACACAGATAGAGTCAAAGGGTTAAGCAACAGAATGACTAGACGCATGCTGTAAGTGAGTGTGAAGGTGGTGTGATCGCTGGTGCCACAATCCTGGGGTTTTCCCTCAGTACAGGGTCTAGAGTTTACAGAGAACTGCGTGATAAATAAAATATATTCTGTCAGTGGCAGTTCTGTGGGCAAGAACACCTTGTTAATGACAGAGGTCATAGAGGGGAATGGCCAGACTCATTAAAGCTATCAGACAGGCCACAAGTGCAGAAAGGCTTCTCTGAATGCATAATTTGCACTAAAAAAAAAGTGGATCGTATCTGGTACTATCTAGGTGTACCTAATACAGTGGCCACTGAGTGTATATATACAGTACTGTGCAAAAGTCTTTGGCAGTCAAAGACAATGTTTAAAGCTGTTTATCTAGGTAGTAAATCTATATTTGCTTCAGAAAGCAAACAGTGTAACATTACAACATATACAAATTAAGAATAAGACAATAAAAGCTAACAGGAATGTCTTACATTTTCCATAATGTTACTGATATGTCATAGAACACTGCTTCAGTTCCAAAGTCTACACAGGGGCACCTCAGCCATTCCATGTATTAATTGAATTTCACCACCAGCTCACTTAATTAATTAACTATATTGATAACTTAATGAGGTATTCGTTAGACCAGGGTGACACCCAAAAATGTGCAGGAGCCCTGCACATTTTTAGGTTTCCCCTCATTTAACACACCTGATTCAACTCCTTGTGCTAATTATCACATAACTCCTGAGCTGAATAACCTGTGGTGAAACAGGGAAAGAGCTAAGCTCTACACAGATCCCCCCCCCATAGGGTGACCACCTAATCCATGTCAGGAGGGACACTATGAGCTACTTCAGCTTTTACAAACTACTTTAAAGCTGAAAGGGTTCTGTGCTCTGCTGAAATGTTTGGTTAGTTAATAGATTGAAAGACTCATCCAGCTGTTTCGCATTAACATTACTGACACATATGCATGATTATAGGAGACTGACCAATAAGCATACGGCAAGAACCCAGTGCTTAAGTAAAATCCTGGTCCTTTTAATTGAAATGTATGTTACAAATCCTGTTGTAGCTCATAGTGTCCCTCCTGACATGGATTAGGTGGTCACCCTACCCCCCCACCATGGAGGTGACACCCCTGCATCAGACGAACCAGGTGTGCTTGTGCTTGAGATGAAAAATACGTGGGTGTTTTGTATGGCAGCAGCAAATGCAGCAATAACTTTCTGAGAGGTTTTGAAACATTTAACAGACATAATATCACAGTTTAATGCCAACATGGAGATCATGTAAACATTATTTTATTTGAAAGCCTGAGACTTTTGCACAGTGCTGTACATGCGTGGAAATTAAGAGACTGCAGCACAATTTTTTGTTTCACTCATTTCTCAATTTATGGCTGTGCGTCTGTGAATAATATATATTTTTTCTGCAAACTGCAGCCTGGTTCTTCCCTGTTTCTCATTAATGAAGGGCGTCTTCCCTGCTTTATGGTCTTCAGTCCTGCTTCTAGGAGCCTGATACAAACTATCCTAGCAGTGCACTTCACACCTGCACTTAATGTTCCCCGTTCCTTTTCAAGGTCACTTGATGTCATCCTTCGATTCATGAGAAACTGTCGGATAAGATAACGGTCATCTCTGGCATTAGAATGTCGCTTCCGCCCTTTACCTGGCTGATTCCCAGTGTCTCCTGCTTCACCTTATATTTGTGTCCTGCTGTCTTAGACATTTTGAACCTGAAGCATCCTGCTGCTCAGCGCAGCCTCTGTGAGCAGTGCCATGATAAAACCAGGGTTTAAAAGTGCAGATTTAATTTTTAATATAGAGTGGTCTCTTCATTTTTTCCGTGGCTGTATATACATGTGTTGGCATGCGTCATTCGGTACGGATGCAGTGTATTTCAACACGCCTGAATCATGTACCAAACGTGTCACACTCACTGCTATTAGGCTGACGTTGTAGAGACAGACTCGTAGATGGCATCTCTCTCGTTTCAAACTCACTAATCAGTTGTGAGTGGCTAATTTTGGTGGTCATGAAAGCCATGGCTTGTATTGCTTGGTAACTTCTATAATGTTCTCAGGTTGGTCAAATTCCCTCTCAGACCGACACTGTAATCAGACTTCATAGCTTGTGAACGTACTTGATGTAGTGACAGTGTAAAGCTGCCTGTGTCCCCGTGGGCTCCAGGTTGTCCCCTTTTGTGATACTGTCAGGCCGTAATGTGACACGTGTCCTTCTTTGTGACACTGATGTATGGCGTGTGTGTTTGTTTCCTCTGGTACTGCCATCTCCTTCTCTGTCAGCTCCTAAAAAGTCCACATTTCATATGTATTCCAAGCAGGTCACCCGTTTAAGAATAAATTCCTCCGTTTTCTGTCTAAAGATGTCGGGATTAGCTGCTCTGACTGGGGTGCAGCACCTGGATAAGCCACGGCAACTGCAATACATAAGTAATGTGCTGAGTCGTGACAAGAATGGCTGAAGTGGTTTATAACCTAATCGCCACTTAGTTTGTTTTTTAGTTAGTGAATAATCAGAGTTACTGATGTGGGGGTAATCCTTTATTACATAAAACACCACAAAGTCTGTGTAACCAGATCCAGGTACACTAGTGTCTAAAATTGTAGAAACACCTGCATTTTTGGCATTATGCTTTAAAAATTGCTACACGAATATTTGCAGTAATGTTCATAAACAATCAAAGAATGTTACAAATATACACTGGATGATTAAATTAGTAATTGGAGTAAAAGGAATACAGTTCTTTAAAAATTGGAAGTATTTCCACAATTTTGGCCTCTAGTGTGTTACATCATCTTTCTCATTTTTGATGGCAGGACTGTGTCAGTTTTACAGACGCTGTCCAGTCTTTGGAGGGTGAAAGGTCATTGTCAGTTCAGGGATACACATCTGTCTTCACCCCCCTAGTCTCTTTGAACTGCTAAAACTTGAGCACCAACAACAGCCTGTGCCGCTCCAGCTGTGGAGAGGGGGTAGTGAATGGGGGACTCTCACGAAGACTGTCACGCTCCACGAGTGTGAAATTGCTTTAATCTTCCCGTTTCCTCATACCTGCACTGCCGCAGCTAGTGATGCTGCGTCACCCCCGACGTCCCCCTCCCTCTCCAGCCCCCCCTCCGATATCCTCGATAAACTGCCACCTCATATACGACACCCATGTTGGCTCTGAAGCCACGGGTGTCTGAGGGCTGTTAATCACCAAGGTGACTTACGAGGCAAACGGCCACTCGACTGCTGGACACCCCCAGTTTATGCGAGCAGCATGCACTATAAACGTCCTACAATACAGGAGCAGTCGATTGTGGTGTAATTTCAGACTTTGTATGTGATTTATACATGAATTCAGCTAGTAAAGGTGAGTGGGCGGTTCCCCTGCTGGTATATACGCTGTGTAGTGGGCATTAAGGGCATTGTTGTTTCCCTGTACATTGCATTACAGCACTTTGTGGCACTGGCACTGCCAGGCCCCTTCACCTGTGGGTCCTTGGCATATATGGCCATGTTCCTGCTGCTGGTCTTGCTGGCAGACCGTTCCAGCTATTAACTCATCAGCAGCCATTAAAGATTTCAAACTTAATTGACACTAATCCACTCTGAAGTCTTTCATTCACATTAAAAGCCTTTATGCTGCTGAGAGTAAATCTGCAGTCATCCTCTGGCCAGGGCTGAGTGCAGCGTCATTCCCGACTCAACGTTTGAGGGGCAAGAATTAATATAGTAATGGATACGCGTGTCATGGCAGGAACATCATTAGGTTGCTGTGAAACCTAATTAGTGAATTTAGGGGGGACATTGTAGTGTGCAAACTTCCTTTGTGTGTGTGTGTGTGTGTGTGTGTGTGTGTATGTGATCAGGTGATCATCTGATTGGTAAAACACGTGTCAATTAGCACCATTTCTCCATATGCAATACCGCCACGGATCCGGGTCGCTGACTTAATCTCGTATCGAATGTTCTCTCAATTAAATATAGAAGTTTAATTGAATATGGAACAGAGGTGGAAATTTCAGGCCCAGAAAGTACGAATCCAGACCAGGATTTTGTTTCAACCAAACCAGTGGAGTACTCTGTAACTATGACTCTTTATGCTCAACTGGTTGGTTGAAACTAAATCACGGTCTGAATTTGTACTTTCTGGACCTGAACTTTCCACCTCTGATATGTAATAGCCTTGGTTTAAATTAAGACCCCAAATGGTCGCAGGCTCAGAAAGGAAGCAGCATTCCCATTTCTTAACATTTCATAACAGCCTTGTGTAGTTTGCCTGTGTTCCAGTACCATGGGGATGTAATGCTGCTCGCTCTGGTTCCTGATTATCCCTGTCTGCAGTGCCATGGCATGCTGAACAAGCACAAAGAATGATGCTCAGATTTACAATAAGGGGAAAGGAATTGTTCATGTTAAAATGTTAGGTAATATGTAGGACTGGCTCCAGGCAGAATTGTGAAGAGAGCCACGTGACAGGAGAGTAGAAAACAGGCATGAGGACTTTTTGGGGACAGAACTGGAGAAGCAGCTGATTTTGAGGCCCCAAATGGCTTAGAATGGCAACCAAATTCCCACACTGCAACCTGCAGTGACGTCCTATCTCTCTACATGGCTATTATGAAACATAGCTCAGTGACTTCAGCATCAGGACAAGGGGAAACACACATTAAAAAATGTGTACCAGGCATTTGAATGGAGAGGAACGCAGTGCAGGAAAAGGGAAAAGACATGTGAGAGTTAGAGGATCGGTAACAGGGCACAGGGGGAGGGAATGACATGCATGTTCCCTTACTGCACATAACCCTGGGACAGACACATACAGT